GAGAATAAACTAGAAAGAAGTGTAATAAGAGAAATGAAAGACAAGAAGGAATTGAAAATGAGCAAAGAAAAATAGAAAGAATGCAAGTAAAAATAACAGATATGAACGAGAAAAAAAAATCCAAAGTGTATTATTAGAGTCCCAAGGAAAGAAAACCAAACAATAGCACGGAACTATAAATAAAATCACCATATAACACAAATCACAATATCAAAAGGGCACACCACAGCCCCAGGAAAATGGACCCCCCCCACAGTCAATATCAAGACAGCTTCTGCTAAAGTACCGTATTTTAAAGATAAGGGAAAACGTGTTTGTGTATCCAGGCAAAAAGACCCAGTCACTTATTAGGGCAAGAAAATCGCATTAGCATCAGACTTCTCGACAAGACCACTTCATACTAGATAGCAACAGAACAACATATTAATGTACTACAAGAAGGAAAATGTGAGCCAGGGATGTTAGAGGTGCCAAGGTGACCTTCAAGTGTATCACAGACAAACTTGCAAAGTTGCAAAAACTCGGGGTATCTTCCAACGGAATCTACCAGATTTCCGTAGAATAAGTAGTAGAAGCTTTGGATAAGGTTGCTGCTTTGTGAATTGTAATTAATGGCACTGATTTGGTCACTTCCTTTCTTTCCGAGATGGGAACATTCTCTAGTGGCACCCTGACTTTGAACGTAGGTGACACAAGGTCAGGTAAGCCCTCCACCCAGAGAAGGGGTTTACAGATGATGCTCCCATTCATCATGGGGAGAAAAAAAATCATATATTTTCATTAGAAATGGCCTATGAGTGGAGACTGGCAATTATGTAAGTCACTGTTACATGAAGCAAAATTTAAAAGTTGTTATTAGTGTTTGAGGTGCCTGGGTGGCTCACTCAGTTGGGCAGCTAACTCTTGATTGCAGCTCAGGTCATGATCTCCAGACACCGGGATAGAGCCCCATGTTGGGCTCTGCGCTCAGTTGGGAATCTGAGATTCTCTCTCTCCCTCTGGGCCTCCCCTTGTGCTCTCCTTATAATACATAAATTAATACATCTTTAAAAAGAAAAAGGAAGTTGATGTTAATTTTTATTACATGGGAAACCCCTAGATGAAGATTTGATTTGGTTAAACAAACAAATCGTAACTTGGTAAATGGTAATTTTAAGCTACTTGTTCAAAAGCTTACAAAAAGCTTTTCTCTGTACTGAAAAATATGAATAGTTTTAGGGCTTTCTGTTAAAGATGACAATAAAGGATTTTTTTTTTTAATTCCATTCCCCTCCTTTGAAACCCAACAAAAAACCCACAAGGAGCATGGAAGAGAGGGAACACTCTGTCTTCAGTGAACAATGAAATGGCCCAAATCCCAAGCTATAAATCATGGAACACACCTGCCAAAGACCTCCAGATCTGGGCCAAAATGAGAGGGAAGGCTGGGAGCTGGCAAGTATCCCTCGGGGGCTGAGTGCTGGGTAGCTCTCCCTAGGACGACATGCGACAATCCTCCCAGGCCCATCAACGGCCCTCTGATTACAGAGGGCAGACGAAGGCTAGACCACGAGCTGCCCAGAGAATGCCCCTGTGGAGCCGTGGGGCAGGGAACACTGAAGGAGACATGGCATTCGCGGGCCTCCTAGCCAAGGAAGGCTGCCAGGGCTGACGTGGGGGGAGGAGAATCAGCAGTTGCTGCGTTAGTCCGCAGTGAGCCAGTTGTGGAACAGGCTCTTCTCTGAGTCACAGTGGCCATGCGAATGCCAAGAGCTGAACAGACATGCGGACAACAAAAATGAAAGTGTGTTACCAACCAGGGTGTTGCACACAGTTAATGTAAGCGGCCCTGGCTCATCCCCTGCCCACGTTCTTTGCACACAGCTGTACTTCGAGCTCCAGTGGAAAACCTATGCAGCACACCAGGCGGGCGGGGGCTCCGAGAAGGAAAAGGAGGAAGTCGGGTTGCAGGGAATGGAATAGCACGCAAGAGTCACAGGAATGGCGGTCATACCACAGAGCTATTACCAAGGGAACGGTTCCAACAAATCAGCTCTGTGTTCCCGAGCAAAGTATGGACCCGGTGTCTGGCGGGAAAGTTGCTCTAAAATGAGGCTTGAGCTCAAAAAGAGATTGTAAGTCAGCAAAAGGAGAAGACAACTGGAACAGTAGGGGGCAAAAAAAAAACAAACCACAAATTACAAACAACAACAAAATTAAAGAAAATGACAGAAGACAAGAGATGTGTAGAGGCTGGAATGCCACACCTACTGCGGCGGGTACGGAAGACAGGAGACAAACCCGGGCGCATTGGTGTTTGTGGAAAGAACCGAACAAATGGCACAGAAAATAAGAGAAAAATATTCAGAGATAGTAAAGGGGAATTTATTAATGACAAATAATAATAAAAACTTTCTTTGATAGAAGCTTTGGTCTGTATGTCATAACGGCATACCACGTGCCAAGAAACTATGACCCAGGGTGACGTAGCCTGCCTACAGTGCAGAGCTTCATGCATAAAGAAAGAGCCTACCGGCCTCTGAGCAGAAAGGGCAACAGATACACAACAGACACTCCCTGTCTGGCCGTGCATACCCTCACAGTAGCATTCAGGTCACGAAGACAGTGGAACAGGGGCTGCATGGTTCAAAGGGAAGGAAAGTCTGACCCAAGTATCTGCTCTTCTTGGTGTTCTTCATGTAGAAAGTCATCAGGGAAATACGACTCAAAACCACAAAGAGATCTCAGCTCACACCAGTCAGAATGGCTAAAATCAACAACATAAGAAACAACAGGTTCTGGCGAGGATGAGGAGAAAAGGGAACATTCTTACACTGCTGGTGGGAATGCAAGCTGGTGCAGCCATTGTGGAAAACCGTGTGGCGGCACCTCAAAACATTAAAAATAGAGCTACCCTACAATCCAGCAATTGCGCTACTGAGTATTTACCCAAAGGATACAAACATTGTGATCTGAAGGGACACCTGCACTCCAGGTTCATAGCAGCAATGTCCACAAGAGCCAAGCTATGGAAAGAGCCCACATGTCCATGGACAGATGAATGGATAAAGAAGAAATGGTGTATATATACAATGGAATATTGCTCAGCCATCAGAAAGGATGAATACTTACCATTTACGTAGGCATGGATGGAACTAGAGGGTATTGTGCTAAGCGAAATAAGTCAATCAGAAAAAGACAATTATATGATCTCACTCATATGGAATTTAAGAAACAGGATCATAGGGGAAGGGAGGAAAAAATAGAATCAGAGAGGGAGACTCTTAATCATAGGAAACAAACTGAGGTGGGGGGTGGATGGGTGGAAGGATGGGGTAACTGGGTGATGGGCTTTGAGGGGGGCATGCAATGGAATGAGCGCTAGGTGTTATACGCAACTGATGAATCACTGAACTCTACCTCTGAAAATAACAATGCATTATATGTTAGACTGAATTTAAATAGAAAACTAAAAATAAAAAATAAAAAAAAAAGAAAATGGAGAGTCAGTCAGAAAATGTATCCATCGGGATGCCTGGGTAGCTCAGTCGTTAAGCGTCTGCCTTCGGCTCAGGTCATGATCTCAGGGTTCTGGGATCGAGTGCCGCATCAGGCTTCCTGCTCAGGGGAAGCCTGCTTCTCCCCCTCCTGCTCCCCCTGGTTGTGTTCCCCCACCCCCATCTCTCTTCTCTGTCAAACAAATACATTAAATCTTTAAAAGAAAGAAAGAAAGAAAGACAGAAAGAAAGAGAAAGAAAGAAAGAAGGAAGGAAGGAAGGAAGGAAGGAAGGAAAGAAAGAAAGAAAGAAAGAAAGAAAGAAAGAAAGAAAGAAAGAAAGAGAAAAGAAAAGAAAATATGTGTCCATAAGCCCACGCCACAATCCTGCAGGACCAAGATGACTCAGCATAAATGCAGAGACGCTGATGAAAACAGTGGAGAAAGAGTAATGGATGCATTTGTGCACAGGGTTAACAGTAATCAGAATAGCACCTCAGAACAGACCGCAAACATCAGAAACCCTGACCTCACCTAAATGGTATCACGGAGGCTAACTGGAGGGTTGGGCGGTGGGGGACTGAATGGTCTTATGTCTGTGTCCCTCTTAGCAGGGGGCCAGTAGCTACTCCCCTAAGTCAAAACAGGTCATTAAAAACAACCATCTAAATCTGCTCTTGGTTTCTTCATTAACATTACAGGGTTCTTTAGGGAATTAATTGTTAGGGCGGAAAAAAAAAAACCTCAGCTATTCAACAACTCCTTTAATTCTACTTCAGTTCCCTTTTTTCTGATATACCTAATAAAACTGCATTATGTTTTTAAAATTAAAACTGCATGTACACAAAATGATTATCAAATACCAACATTATGCACACATTGAAGATCAAATATTAGTGTTATTTTATGTAGTTCGAGTGGTTTTTAAAACTTTCCTAATACTTTTCTGTTTCTTGAAGTCTTGGTTGTGGGTGTGTATCTTTTTTTAATGCAATTATTTTAGTATATAAATACACAACTAAAAAATCAGATATCAGTTACACTGCCAAAAAAATCCCATGACAGTAAATTACTGGAAATTAATTACTGTCTCAGAAAGGGGGAAGGAAGGGAGAGAGGCAGGGAGGGAAGAAGGAAACTCCCTGTATTATAAAAGATAAGTAAAAAAAAAAAAAAAAGACAGGTCACAGGGATGAAAAGTACAGGGTGGGGATACAATCAGTAATACTGTAATGATGTTGGTTGGTGACCGGTGGTGACAGTGACCGCGGTGAGCACTGGGTACTGTGTAGACCTGGCCAATCACGGTGTTGTACACCTGAAGCTAATGTCACATTGTGTGTCCTGTATACTTGAAATAAAGACATAAGTTATCAATAAGAAGTAAGAGGGGTTCAAGCCTAGGAAATGGCTTCCGAACGGGCACAGCCACACGTGCGACCCCTCTCTGCGCCATCAGGGACTTGGCTGTTGGCTGCGTTGTCTGCGGAAGCCCCGTGTGACGGGCGCACGATTCTCATTGCAGTGTTCCGTCAGTTGTGGTGTTGGAACCCAGCGGAGAAAGCAGGTGTGTCAGAGGCTGACAGCCAAAGGCCGGCGCGTTCCCCTCGGTGAGATGATGTGCCGAGACCTTCCAGGGCCCCCTCTCGTAAGACCTTGCCAGATGCCTACGTGCACTAGTAAGTATGTCCAGGCCGTTCTCCAGCGGAAACACTCATTCGGTTCCTCTCGTCCCAATGGCTTTACCTCCCATGAAGCAGCACGTTCCTAACCTGGGCAAATGCATCTGTTCAGGCCCCTTGCTTCCGTTTGTACTTCCTTCTACCCTTCCCGTGGCCGTGATTTCTTCCACTAACAATTCGGGAGTGTTTCTTGTAGAAGTTAAGCCAGACTGCTTTCCGGCTTACTTTGCCCGTGATACATTTGGATGTACAGTAAGAGTAGAAGAGCTGAGTATTTTAAAATATTCAGGTATCTGTTCTTGTGTAAAATCTAAAACCAGCAAGGATGAAAACATAAATTGTCGTTCTTTTTAATGGTAGTTCGGGCACTTTTTCCATTAATTCTAAATAACAAGCTTAGTATAGAGAGTTAAGAGTATGACTTCATTATATCTAAAAGCTAGTATGCATGTCGGACTCCTCTGTATTTTCAGTGTACATTAACAGAATGTATGTTTGCACATATATATGTGTGTTTTACGTAGGAAGGTGGGTGACAATGCATGAAAATAAGGCAGCAGAGGGCCACCTGGGTGGCTCAGTTGGTTAAGCATCTGCCTTTAGCTCAGGTTATGATCCTGGGATCCTGGGTCAAACCCTGCATTGGGCTCCCTGCTCTGTGGGGAGTTTGCTTTTCCCTCTCCCTGTACCCTGCTCATGCTCTCTCTCTCTGTCTCTCAAATGAATAAATAAAATCTTTAAAAGAAAAAAAGAATAAGGCAGCAGAGTAGTGGGGGGAGGTGGGGTTTGGAGCAAGAGGAAAGGCATACTAGGACTGCACAGCTTCTTGGTCTGTCCCCTGCTTTCTTTTTCACGGTCTTTATTCACCTGTAAAGTGAATTCACCTATTAAGTACTTCAGGTACCCTCCTGAGCTTATGGTAAGAAAACAAAAATCAGAAATTTATTATGTTAATGCTGCTTAAGAAAAAAAACCCGAGATATAAAATCCAAAAATACCAACAACTTTCCTGGAGAAACTCATAAAACAAAGCAAAGCAAACAAACCGTTATAAGTTGAAAAAAAAAAAGTAGTAGCTTTTTTTTTTTTTTACTATTTATTGCATTCATTATGTGGTTTCCTTGCCTGCATTAAGTCCTTTAGTCCCCAGCAACTCGTGAGACAGACATTACCCCCATTTAGAGACAAGAACCCCAAGACTAGAGAATGTACGAGACTTGACCAGAGATCCGCAGTGCCAGTTGCACGCCGTGGCCTGTGTGATCACGGGTCCGTCTGACTCTTGAGTCCACGCTTCAGTCCCCTCTTTATGCTGATTCATGGACAACGTCAACTTTTCTCCTTGGGAATTCTTCGAGAACACTTTTCCAAAATCTTGAGATTCCAAAACTTTGAGATTCCAAGTTTCCTTGTGTCCTGGAACTCAAGAAAGCCTGTGGCACATGGCACCGTGTCATGCTTCAAAATGCTTATCTGTCTGATTTTTATTAATTGCGGATGGCTGCGTAGCAATGCAGTTAGGCTGTGAACTGCCTTCCAGGGGTGGGAGATTAAAGCGTGCGGGAACTTCCTCTAAGATAACCACAGAACGGCGTGCGGAAGTATATCGTGGTTGTTAGGTATACAGCATGGTGCAGATTAAATGATAAACCATTACCGCACAAAGCAGAGAACAGAATTATAAGCTTTAGGGAGGCCCAAGGAACAAGAAAAAAATCCAGTAATATTTCTTCTTTCCCCACCCCATTCCCTAGCTTGCCAAACATGTGGGTCATGGAAACAGAGAAGAGAGGGGAACGCCTGCTCCCAGCCCTGCCAGATCACCCTGAGCTGGGCCTCCATTCCCGCTGTAGCCTGGCTCATGCCCTCACCTTTGCTCAGTGGCCCTGGCGTGCTGAAATGCAGCTTCTCCCTTTGCGCCGTGTTGTGGCATCCTCTTTTCCCCACCACCATCTCCCAGAGCCGAGTGATGCACTTGGCGTTCCTCTGTCCTCCCGACCCCTGCTGTCTCGCACCGGTTCCCCACTGCCGTCATGCACTCAGCGCTAACACTGGCCCTCGCACACCTTTGGGTATCACACGGGGACCTACAGCCACCAACTCCCTTTTCCCAGCACACACTACCACCAGGCCCATTCTTCCTCGCTGGTGACCAACATCCATGTCCATGACCTTTCTAACACCTCGATCCCTATCTCCTTCCATCATTGACCTCCCTGACCCCTGCCCCATCACCCTGGCGTGGTCACACTTGCTCAGACGTGGCCCTCAGAAGTGGCTTCCTGCTGTCCCTCCCCCACCCCATGCCGCTCCTGCTTGTGCGGTGAGAGCCTCACTGTAGACACTCTTGCCTTTCCTTCCACCCCTGCCTTGACCACCTGCTCTCTTCAAACCTGGGGTCACTTTTCAGGTGATAAAGATTCAGGTTGTTTGCCTTTTGGTTCCCTGGCCTGAGCTACTGGGATTCACTGAAGGAAATCATGTCACCATCCTTCGTGTTCATGCTCTCTGATTTACCTGCGCATCGCGTGTTTTTCCCTAGTTCCTAAGAATCCCCTAAAAATTCACCATCATAGCTCTCTACCCCGCAGGAGCTCCGATTCCCTTTCTCTGTGGCTGCTCGTGACTTTCCTTCCACTGGGACTGTTAAGGCCTGTATGGCATAATGTCCTCTGACTTTCCTCGCCTCTTCACCCCACTTCTGCCTGCCCCGTGTGAGCCCCAGACTGGACATGTGTGGTCTTCATTGTAGGCCTGGCCCTTGCGTCGTTGCAGGGGGTCTGAACACAAGAAAGACCAAGCCCACTTGTGCTGTGACCGTTAGTCCCTCTCAAGCCTCCACTTCTAGATAAGTCTTCTGACGGGTGCCTTGGGTTGAAGTAAGACCCATCCTTGTTGGAGGAGTGAGTTTTGCTGGTCTTCATTCTGACCATTTTGACATGCAGGGGTGGAGGGCGGGTGGGAGAGATGTCTTGAGCACCCCTCGGTCCAGTTCTGCCCCTGCCTGCGTCCCCCCCTCCATGCCCTGCCTTGCCCCACGAAGACATTGACCCCTTGCTTGAATTCTTTCTGCTGCCATATCTAGTGACTGGCATTCTTATTCCTGAAAGACCATTGCTAGCCCTGCCTTCCCCAGTCACCTTTTTGGTTATACTAATCTCTGGAAGATAATCCGACATTGCGGCTAAACTAATGACTTGAGTTACAATCCCAGTGTTCCAATCCCTTGTCCTACTCTCTGCCAGCCTCAGTTTCCTCCTCTGTAAAATGGGAATAGTGGTTGTATCTACCTCACAGGAATGTCCTGAGAAATAATACCTACAACGTGCTTAGAAACAATGCCAGCCCTGTGAAAAAGCCTCAAAAAAGTTGGTTATTTTTAATGCCATCCTTTTAATTCCTATTATAGCTTTAAGAAAGGATAAAATGCCGTAGAGCAACTTGTGCTGTGTCTTGTGTCCCCTGAGGGTGAGAGCTTGTATGGGGTGGGTTCTCAGTAGCCCTGGAGTCTTCTCCACATAGGCCCCCGGAAGTGCTTATCACGATGACTTAGACCCACAGAAATGCTTTTGAAATATGTCAGACTTGAATTGTCCTCATATTGCTGTTAGAAGTCTGCCTGGCTTGGTTACTTTTTGTTGTTGTTGTTTTTAAGATTTATTTGAGTGAGGGAGAGCAAGCGTGCGCATGGCGGGGGGAGGGGCAGAGGGAGAGAGAGGGGAACACAGGCACATTCCGTGCTGAGAACAGAGTCCGACGTAGGGCTTGGTCTCATGACCCTGAGATCAGACCTGATCCTAAACCAAGAGTAGGACATTCATCCGACTCTGCCACTCAGGTGTCCCTCCCTGTCTTGGTGTCTAATTAGGGATCTGAAGAAAAAAAAGTAACAGAAAGTAATGTTTGATTTTAGGTTTTTTAAATGATAGCTCTAGGCTTTTAGGTTTCCTGAGATTTGGTGAAGAATTCTTATTTTTTGTCAAAGTACTGAGATCAAGGGGCACCTGGGTGGCTCAGTGGGTTAAGCCTCTGCCTTCAGCTCGGGTCATGATCTCAGGGTCCTGGAATCAAGTCCTGTATCAGGCTCCCTTCTCAGTGGGGAGCCTGCTTCCCCTCTCCCTCTGCCTCCCTCTCTGCCTGCTTGTGATCTCTCTCTCTGTCAAATAAATAAATAAAATCTTTAAAAAAAAAAAAAGTACTGAGATCAAGATGGTTGAGGGAAGGGAGGCACCCAGGTAGGCACTAGGTTATTGAAATGTCAAAAAAAAAGATATGCCTTGCCAGGGGTTATCTCGAACACACTCACTTCTCTGGTGAAGTGAGCTCTTGGTGTGCAGCTCTTGGTCTGCCTTTTGGTTCCAACCCCGTATCTGCCTCGTTAGCTCTCCCACCTCCTACACACGCCTTGCTCTTCAGAACCCGCCTCCACTCTCCCTGTAGCTTCTCAGTTCCAGTGACGCGCACCCCGCCTGACATAGCTGCAGCCTTTGGAAACCGGGGGCGGGGGGCACAGGCCCACCGTGGCACACCCCCTCGGGGTTGGCTCATCTGTCCTGCAGCATCCAAGGGCGCACACTCAGTCATTCATTCATTCGATAAAGAGTAAGACCTTAGTCTGTACCCGGCGCTCTGCTGTGCCCTCAGGGTAGAGACGATCACTCGTCCTGGACATCTGTGGTCTGCAGTGTCAGGCGATACGATTTCCTTATTAATTCTTTCTGCGGTCCTTTACCGGTGCTACCGTGTTTTAGGTGTTTGGACACAAAACGGAAAAGATGCATTCTCTTGTCTTAAGCTCTCAGAGTCCAGTGGGGGAGAAATACACACACAGAAATGAGAATAGTGCATGCCACAGGTGCCATGACGGGATGCAGAGGGCAGCGGTCAAAGCCCCTGGGGGAGGGGGAGGTGAGGAAAATTTCACAGGGAGGTTTCCTTGGGCAGAGTTCTGGAAGATCAGTGTCCATTCTCCAGGCTCATGTGGAGGAGGACGCAGT